CTGATTTAGGATGTTAAAGTAAAAAACTGAAGTTCTGCATTAAATTCCATGCAGGAAGACGAGTTCTTCTATCTACAAGTCGATGGCGAGCGCCATCCCCATGGCGTCCAGGTCCCCATGGGTTATATGTTGATGGCGGGCGCCATGCCCATGGCGGGTTACCTTCTATGCACCCAGGACGAGCGTAATGACCTATGGTGCGTGAAATCGAGCTCCAGTTTTAATGTTTACTGTTGTGTGATGATTTGAGGTGTTGTTGGGTACTATTTGGTGTCTACGATTGGTTATTATAAGTACATATTTAATTGCGATATGAATCAAATGATGAATTATGTTGAATGGCGTAACTGATTAAATGATAAGTATTTGTAGTGATATTTGTTGTGATTCAATGTTGTTGTGCATTAATATGTTTGCCTATCATGATGTTGATGTTGTTGGCATTATTTGTTGTTGTGCACGGCCAGAAGACTGGCCTTATGTGCATGTGTTAAAGTGTATGTTGTCGAGTCATGCATTCATGGTGTACGAACTTCGATTCAATTTATGTGTGCTCTGGTCCTATTGTGAGGATTGGGAGCAAGTAGCTGGTTTCAATGGGAATCGATGAAGTGTTACATATGGTAATGGTAGTGATTTTTATGTGCTCAGGTTCTAGAGAGGGAATCGATAGCGAGATGAACCTGAGTGTTCATATTGGTACCAGATGCTTGTTAAGTCAATTGTTGAGTATAGCTGCATTGGGGATGCATTTGTGAATGATCAATAGGTGATGTATTATATGCATGAGAATACTTGATGTGTGGATGTTGGTATGATTAACATTTGTACTTGTTGTTATATGATATTCTACCTTTTCTTGTCTACACCGTTAAATTACAGAAGTGTATTCTCACCCTTCTATTTTAATGTTGTCCACCATGGACATCTTGTACATAAGTTGCTTGTTGTGTTTGGAAGAGGGATTTGAAGAGCTATCTTTGGTTATTTATCCCTTTTATTCGTTTTAGTGGTTATGCTCTAATTCTATAACACTGGGTGGGCGAATAACGTTACTATATGTGTATATTTTCGTTAATCGAGAGTTGGTTGTTATACATGACGTTTGAGGTTATGTTGGTGGTGGAGACTTTTTCCACATTTGTTTTAATTTAAATAAAGTATTTTAATGAGACTTAATTATTTGTGAAGCATGCTTATTTGATGAATTTCGCAACGATGATACCTAAGTGAAAGTGAGCATGCGATGACATGTATATTTGAATGTTTTACCTTAATTGATAAGTGTTATGGAACAAGTGTTGTTTTATGGTGAATGACATCCCAAATGTGCGTATTGTGATCAACACTTGAATTATTTTGTAATTTAACGCGTTGATAGTTTAGGGTGTTACACCTACAAGCTCTTCTTTTGTCATACTTTACAAATCCTTCGATTTTTCTATGACTACTACCACATGACCGAACTTTGGATGCAACGACCTAAAAATCTTGACATTATAGATTTCGATTTCAACACTTCCCCACACCTCTTGATTTGATTCACTAGTCTTATTACACTGGTGAAGAAATCAGTCACACTTTTATTGTTTTCTATCTGAAGCAATTCATACATTCTTTTGTGAACTCACCTCTTTCACTTTCTCAGTGGCTCCAAATGATCTTTACATGATGTCTCATGCTTGCTTTGCTGAAACTAAATCACTAACTTTTTCAAAGTTGTCTAGATCAACACATTAATGGATTAAAAAGAGAGTCTTGTAATCTTTCTTCGTCAAATCTTTGTATGCAGCATTTTGTTCATCCGTAACATTCTCTTCAATTGGCGTTACTCTATTCTTCATAAGATCTCAAAGATCTTGATAACAGAAAACATCCTTCATCTGCTTACACTAATTTTCATAATTCTTATCATTCACGATTGAAAGATTCACTGGAAATTTCTCGTTCGAATGATTCATCATGATTCAATATATGCCAAAGATCACACAACCAGTGCTCTAGATACCAGATCTTGCAAAAACTCAAATCTTGAAGTTAACCAGATCAATCTTGATGAACAAGGATCAATATTTTTGATTGATTACGCCTTTAATCTTCACCCTTTACTCAGGTGAAGCAACCACTCATTGGTTGCAAGATGATTCTACACCAAACAGAGAATTGAAGGAAGAAAAACAAGACAATTAATAATGAGACTAAAAGTATTTCTTGAGGAAGAAGATGAATGTGTTATTGTGCAAACTGCACTCATAGTGTTTGTTACAATGTGTTAATCACAATTGTGATTTTTGAAATTACACAATGCAAAATTTCTTACAAATGAAATAGAGCTCTTCTCTATGTATAAATGAGTTTACTTGCACTCTAAATAATCACAAAATAATTAACTCAATTAAAACTAAGGTATTTCAACTCTGTCGACAACTACATACTTCGACATGTAATATTTAACTTTCTGTCAAACACATCAAATACAGACTATATTCGACGCATGTTTTTACGACACGCACTAAGACGCCGTTCTACACCCATCAAATAACACAAAGTATTCCATATTTAACACTCCAAACACTAATCAATTTAACAGTGGAACAAATTGTAATCATATAACTACTAATATCATATAGACTAAAATTAAATAATTTACATAATACAAGAATTAATTATAATATAAATGAATTTTTAAAATAAGATAAAATAAAAGAACAAAGGAATGAAATAAAATAAAAGAACAAAAAATAAAATAAAAATAAAGAACATTTGAAAAAAAAAAAACAAATATATAAAGAATAAAATCAAAAACTAATATATTAACATAACTAATTACATAACAAAATTTTATTAAAAAAATTAAAATAACTATACAGAATATGTATTTAAACTATACATATAAATTAGATACTTAATTATTTGATATATCTAAAAAAAATTCTTATAATAATATAAGGATTAAAGAGAGTGACATTTAACAATACGATTTTTTTAATTCTAAAAACTACCACACATCCATTTTTCGTATCGGACAAGGCAATAAGATCGATCGTTATTATGATATTCTATGTGATTGAAAATGATGCATACTATTGTAATAATTTCAATGAATGAAAAATCATGTTCAGATACCTAGCTTGGTCAAAACAACTAATTACTATAATAAATTGATTATCACATAAAATCAAACACAAATCACAATAATTTTCATATTGTCTTAATGGCATTCTTCATTAGGCGACATTTTATGTAAATTACACCATTCAATTCAACCCCAGACTCTACCTTAATTAGTTGAGGTTATTTCTCTTTCTAGAGCTGACAAAAAACATTTCCACCTAGTAATTTACCATAAAAAAGAAATTCGAACACAATTTTTTTTCCACCACTAGCATCTAGTCTATAGGTTTGATTAATTCAGTTAAAAATAAATTTTAACATCAAATAATTTCAATCTCATCAGTTTAAGTTGCAGTGAATCTAATTTCACACTCAATTTTTTAACAAGGGGAAATATGACATATTTAGATTGATTCCATTCCCACTACCTTGGACTATACCCATCAACACGTTACTAAGTAGAGAAAATTCTCAAACAGTAACACCACACCAATTGTGCGTTTAACCACAAACCCACGTATACTTTTGATCCCAGCCGTCAATTCATGATGAAATATGAACCGTTGGATAAAATCTGATGTGGGTCCCATTCTTTTAAACGCAACGCAATCCACACGAAGCCGCCCACAACACAATCGTTTTGTTTTTGTGACAAAAAGGGCGGCTCACATAAGCTCAGTTTTCGAGAAGCAATAAGTCTTGCTTTTCAGCTATCCAATCATAACTCGAAACGTGGAAACAACTTCGAACCCAACATTGACTAACCCCACGTAAGACGCCGGCATAAATGGGTCATGTCATTTTCATCACCACTCAAAAAAGTTAAACCAAAATAAATTCACTTTGTCATGATTCATTTTTAAAAGAATTTTTTTTATATTTTTATATAAATAAGGAAGATTTTACTAGTTCAATGAGCTATCTGAACCATGCACCGGTAATCAGACGTTTTTGCACTGAACTATGTGCTAAACTACGCTTCTATAATCACTGTACAACTATCTCAATTACACTCCTGCACACCCCTACTGAAAAATATATCTAATAAATCAGATGTCTTTGCACAACTATCAGAACTACGCTTCTATAATCAAATATCTCTGCACAACCATCTCAATTACACTCCTACACAAATATATCTGCACTCCTACAGATATATCTCATCTCATCTCAATTACACTCATGTAATATGTAGCTGACTCAACCGGACAATTTAGTTATTATTGTTTTAAAATAACAATTGAATTAATATTACACACAAGATATCATAAAAATTATCATTATTATGTATTTCACAATTTTACATATAGAGAGTCCACCTATATTTGTGAAGAGTACAGTGTCATTGTCACCTTTTTCACTATTTACAACCCCTAAACTTAGATATAATTACTCTAGAAAACCAACCTATGCTGTTGTCATTACCATCTTTAGCTTTGGTCCAAAGGAACTTTTTGCTTATTTTCCTACACCGTTCCTTTTTATCAAACTAGTATTTTACATATGTTTTATTTTTCTTCTGCTTATACAACATTTTCCACTCCTATTGGATTTTTCCTATATACACAAAAACAAACCCTATTAACACCAACAACAATTCCAGCACTGGCCCTTTTCAACAAAAAGCTCTAGCATTGGAACTGATGACCAGCATTTAGACACACGCTTTAGATTTCTTTGTATCTATATATATTAAAGTCGACCCAAATTCCCTTATGTGAAAAGATCTCACATTCACAAACAACAACAATAGTCATTCGATCAAGATCAATCTTGGTCGAACAACCACACACGTTTTGACTGTGTGAATGCGGGAAATCTTTTCCATTAGGAGAGTTGGGTCCATTAAGGGCATTATGGCGATAACCTAAAATTATTAATGTTGACTAGTATTGCAAGACTAGTCCTCCCAATGGTGCACGATGTGGAATTCCCTTTCTTCTTTTGGCTGTTCTGTAATTAACTGAAGTTGGTGGTGGTGTTGAAGGAGTGAAGCTTTGCACCTTGATGTTGTTCTTCAGTTTTCCATGGCTGCAACTGCTGCTGTACGAATCCTCTGAGTCTGATATCATGGTAGCTAACTTGTTCTTCTTCTGGAAACTCGTCGATGTTCCAACAATCTAGAATGCCGCATTGATTAGTATTCAATACATATACTCAAAATTCAAAATTAGAACAAAAACTTTTCACAAAGTCAATGAAATTAAATTTAATTTGAATGCAAAATGGTCCATACTAGCCTTCACTATTGTACCAAAAGTCAACCCATTTTAAAAGATGAAAACATTGTGTTAAGCAATGTAACTACCTTGCAACCAAGAGAACAGAATCGAAACGAATCGAGAAGGCTCCGCTCGCAGACTTCACAAGTGTTGGTCACACCTTTGCCCGGCCTTGGCTGAGGCCTCTCATTCAAGAACACCACCCTAGCACTATTGATAATATAGGTTTGAACTCCAGATATGTCCAACACCTTCTGAATCTCATTCACCCTAATCACATCATGGTACGAAGACCTCCTTATCTGTATCAAACACACAAAAACAGAGTTCATTAGAAACCAATAACCATGTTGTAGGAAGAAAAAGACTAAAACAATTATGCGAACACTGAATCCTGGCATAACAATGACACTAACAAACTAATTGAATTAAGTGGTTGAGACAAACCTGAATAGCGCGATGATCTTTATGATAATTGAGGCAGAGAGAACAAAGAGCACCATTCATACAATCCAAACAGTACATGTTACACTCACTTTTATGTGAATCAGCGTGCATCTTGCATTGAACAAAGAAACGCTCTTTCAGCAGAGGTTTCAACCATGGAGGCCATCTGTTTTCTTCATCATCAGGTCCACCAGCACCCTTTACAAAAAAACAATTTTTGAATCAAACCCATAACTCAAAAGCACATATAAAACACAAAAACACAACATTCTTAAAAAAATTCAAAAAAAAAATGACTCTGGTTTTTTCAAGTCAACTAAAAAATAATGAACCTTAAATAAGAGTGAGCTAGATTCAAGGAGTTTTGGTAGTTACCATGATTCTCCTATTTTTGGGCTTGATTTCACGAACTGTGTCTTGATTCTCGAACGCCAGTTTGAAGATACTGATTGGAGACACTGAAAGTTTTGTGATAAATGTTAGAGAGAGAAAATGGTAGAGAGAGATAGATGAGAAGAATTTGGGGCGGTGAAGGAGGGAATGGGTTCTTGTAGAACTCGAAGGCGGTAATAATGTATCATTTCTAGAGAGAGAAACGATGAGAGAGATAGAGAGAAGGGTCGTTCTTATCCGCACAAAAGTCTACATAACCAAACCTGACTCCGAACCCCAACCTAAATCCGAACCCAAACCAAGATACGTGTGTAAAGAATCCACTACTACCCCTTCCTTGATTATTTTTATTTTATTTATTTGTCGTATTCTCAGTCATTGGTCTTATCAATTTTAGTTTTTCTTTCATTATTTAAAGGTTATGTTGCACCTCATAATTAGTGATTAACATAATTATTATTAATTTGGTCGTGGGTTTTGGGGCACACCTGGTTAGTCCTTTTGTTTATTTGATTAAGTTTATTTATGATTTTGTTTTTTTAAGTTTATTTGAATAAATACTTTAGACTTATCTCGTACCCTTGTTCTAGTCCAACTTGTGTTTGTTATTATATTGAAGTTTTTTTTTCTTATATGATGAAGTGTTAGCTTAGGTGTTTTGGTTTCTTGATGAATTATTGCCACCGCACGTTTAGAGTCTCTCTTATTGCGATTTTTTAAAAACTTCAAATGTCAAGCTTGGACCTACCGTGCGGTTTCACTGTTATTTCTAATGAATTACACCGTGCAATAGATGAAGTTGTTTTTGATTCTCGAACACAACACTTTATAACTTGTGCGGTAAGTAACTACTAATAACAACTTGTGTAATTAAGTTACTAACTTTAATCTCTTTGAATTATTATCTTTAATGCATTTAGTGCTTTGATGTAATATATCCCACAAGTAGGATGTTAGTAGATATCTACCCACATATAGAAAGTAATCAATAGTAACTTCACGATCCTTGCACTTAATTTCTCTTTATTCAAATGTTTTTTCTTCTCATGAAAATTAGGTTAAGTGCAATTACAATGTAATACAGAAAAGTTATTAGAAATTGATACATGTTATTACACATGTTTGGGCAATAAAGTCGACAATTGTATTTAGAGTTATATTATGACATTTAATAAAATAACATGTGTAATAAAAAATACAGTTTTAATTTATGGAAAGCGAGATTTGAAACATTTATCAAAGCTAACAACTTTGAAATGTGGGATATTGTAAACAATGGTTCGTTTATTCTTACATTCTTCTTTAATGACGAGGTAGTAAATAACTTGGTTTTGATTGGACCGGAGAGGATTTGAGAAAAGTCAAACTTGATTTTAAATTCAAATATCTTTTAATAAAGACCTTAAGTTTCAAGGTTTTCTATTATGCTTTTACTTGTGAATCTGCCAAGGATGGGTGAGATACTTTTGAAATGATTTATGAAGTTTTTGCAAGCTTCAAGCAATAGGGAATGAACACACAAATACAAGATGTTGAAACATAAAATGAATATGAAGATTATTTTCATATATGGTGTTCAACAATTGGAAATTTTACTGGTCAAAAAGTACATATGTGTGTGTTTCTCCAACAAGGGCAGCGGGACTCAAAGGTCTTAGTAGGTTTATAAAAATTGTGAGTGGTTAGGATTTTCCCACGGTGTATAGAAGCCATGTATGGTGGTGTTTTAAAGTAGTTTAAAAGACCTGCTCATGTGAGTTGAGAGGCTCTAATGATGAACGATGATGCTTGGTAGGAAGCGTGAGGTTATGAGCAGTTGTGTATTGAGATTGTGATGAGCGTTGTGATCTTTAGGGTGTAAAGGATGTGTATCACTTAGAGTTTATCTATTAGAAGGGGAGATGTAATTATCGAGGCCTCTAGGGCCTAGAGTTTTCTTGGAAAGGGTCATCATCCACTCAATCAATGGTGGACAGTTGAATCCCTATTTCCAAGGGAGTCATGGGTTTGTTAATAACTTTGACTTTCTCTCTTCCCAAGAGATTCTTATCCCGTGTTCCCCCACATAAGGACGAACGGATTCCCTATGGTGAGTTGATACCTCCCTTTAGGAGACATTCCATCGTCGCCTCTTTTAGGGCAGTTTAAGGGCATCGCCCTAGGCAATGCCTTTTACAAATATAACACTAAATAGGCCCTCAAGCATGAGGCCTTTAGTAGAATATGAAGTGTTTTTATTCACAACTTATGGGAGTATCCCGAAGACTAGTACTTCCTCTCATGCGGTCTTAGTTGTCTTAGGGAATCCGGATAGCCATGTGTGGTCCAAAGGAAGAGGCACTAAGTACCTTATGCGAGAATTTTATATAACCCGACTGATGAGACTATGATTCTCTTAGGTGAGGCGTTCGACCTACTTGGGAGGGACTTCCATCAAGCCCTCAGGCCAGGCACGTTATCAAGTCTCTTAGAGTAGATGTATATTGTGCCTCTTAGGCGTGATTATTGAGTACTTGTATTGCCCGAGAAAACACTAACCCCCTTAGGAGAGAGCATAATCATCTTGGGGAATCTAAGTCCCTTAGGCTGAATTGTATATAGCTCAATTCATGAGACAATAAGCATCTCAGGAGAGGAATTTGACCTACTTGGGTGGGACTTCCATCAAGCCTTCAAGCAAGACTTGTTGTTAAGTCTATCAATCTGGATGTCTATCACGCCTCTTAGTCGTGATTCTTGAGTACTTGTCCCACCCAAGAAGACATTAAGTCCCTTAGGCAAAAAATGTATATAGCCTGATTGATGATACTATGAGTCTCTCAGGAGAGGCGTTCGACCTACTTAGGTGGGACTTCCTTCGATCCCTCAGGAAAGACTTATTATCAAGTCTCTCAAACTAGATGTATGTTGTGCCTCTTAGGCGTGATTCTTGAGTACTTGTTGCGCCCGAGATGATGGCCCGTGGGAGCCCATATTTATACATAATCTTCCGCCAATAGAAACAAAGCACTTTTTCACCGTAATCTTGGTTACTGCTTCTTCTTCTATCCATTTGGTGAAGTAATAAACTCCTACTATTAGGAACTTCATTTGTCGGTGACAAGGGGAATGGGCCGAGAATGTCTACACCCCATTGGTAGAAAGGCCAAGGCAAAGTCATCATCTGGAGAAGTTCTAATGGGACGTAGTGAAGATATGCATGTCACTAATATTGATCGCACCTCTTGATAAAGGCGATGCTAACTCTCAAGAACACAGGTGGTTTCCGCCTATGTGGCTGCTGTAGGTACCCTTGTGTACCTCTATATGAACACAAGTGGTTTTATGCTCGCCCATGCATCTTAACATGGGAGAGGATCTCCCTATTTTATACAGCTTCCTGTCATACCTTGAAAACTATGATCCTCGCGATGGACGCGAAAAAAATGTTCAAACAGAGTTATCACCCAATTTTAATTTATTATAATGAAGGAATAGGAAAATATCGAGAAAAATTGTTAAGGAAAGGAAAATGGTCATCGCAACTATATCCGAGTTCGGGAGTCGATTACGCAAGGGGAAGGTATTAGTACCCTTTCACGACCGTTATACTCAACAAGAACCTCTTAGTTTAATTAGTGATTCTGAGTATCAAATTACAGTTATTTGTCTTCTTTGAATAATAAAAAAGCTGTTAAAGGTTTTAAATTGGATTTAAGGGAAAATGATTGATTTTATTATTAGGGTGCTCGCCAAGGATTAGGGTCCTTGTGTCTACGTATTCCCTCGTGCAATGAGAAAGTCATAGCAATCGTAGTTCAGCACTACAGTTTATTGGTGTATTTTATAGATGTTAATTGCTCGAATGCGAGAAAGACATCTTATATCCAAACAATTGAAAGAGATGAACATAAGACTCCGTACCCCTCTGTTTTCATCTTTAATAAAAAGTATTAAAATATGATTAGGTATTTTAAGGATGACGAGTGCGTTAAACAACAACGAAGACTCATCATATCCTAGGCATTTGACCGGTAAATTAGCAAGTGTACTAATTGTACTCCGAATATCGATCTCGCGGACTGCGTATGAATACAAGTTCTAAAATAATACAATTGAACAAAAAGTCATAGGGGTTTTGGTTTGTTTCTTACAATTTTAAAGGCCAAAAGGCAAAAGCAGTAAAATAAAGGTTTTAGACAGTTATGAGAAGCATGCTAGAGTAGGGTGTATGAAAAAACCTTGTAATAACCTTAATCCTTATTTTTCAGAAATCACTGCTCAATTCAATCGTTACCGGTTTTAAAGATTAGTTTACTCTAATTTCTTAGTAGAAAACCCTTTGGTATTCTTCCTATGCCCCAATTCCTTGGCGGTATAGGAACAATCCCAAGCAACATATTTTATCTAAAACATTACGGTTACTATAGGGTATCCCCATTCCTAGGCAATATCTACTATAGTATTATCGTATAAACGCGTTAACGATCGTTTTTCCAAACCTAAGGTTAACCGTAAAACAAATCCTTATTTGTCAAATAAGAAAAGCCATAAGAAAATTATACAATAACAACGGTGATTAGAAAGTAGTGAAATCCATTATTCAAAGGAAACAAGGTTATTACAGAGTCAATTCAAGGACACCCCCTAGCATTGGGGGGTTTAACTACTCATAATAATAAAGATAAAATCAACAATAAGACTAAACATTACAAGATAATTGGTTGCCTTGATCTTCAATCGCTTCCGCTCACGAGGACCTTCAGTTTCCCAAATCCTTGATCGCTCCAATCTTTCTCGTCAAAATTCTTTTCCTTTCAAAAGTTCAATCCTTATTCTTTCTCCAAATACGTATCAAATAGTCTCAATTCAAACTAATCACTAGGGAAATACCCACAATACCCTCGGAGATCACAAGAGTCAAAAATACAAAAAAAATAGGGAAAAAAGCGCTTCCTGCAACACGGGCCGTGTCAGGCAACACGGGCGCCCGTGTTGGCTTCCTG